TTCGTAACTAGGGTTTTTTAAGAACGAGCGGCGCCTAACACATTATTAAAGGGTTCAACCCCAACAACAATAAAGATATAGAAAATATATATCAAGTTATTCAAGATGCAAACAATCGTGAAAACTCATTAATAGACAAAACAGAAGAAAACGTTGAAATATACGAAGAAGAAAATGCAAATTGCTCAAAATACAATTTAAGAGATCGAGGTACACTTAAAGTACCTTCACACTTTAACGATTATATCTTAATTGCTGAGGAAATCATTCAAAATTTTAAAACTCCAGAAACATATGAAGAAGCTATAAATAGTAAAGAAAAATCAGAATGGAGAAAAGCGATGGATAGTGAATTGATTTCTTTAAATGAAAATGATACGTGGTAACTTGTTGACTTGCCGGAAGGTGTAAGAGCATTACCGTGTAAATGGGTGTATCGGATCAAAACTAATCCAGATGGTACTATTGATCGCTTCAAGGCAAGACTGGTAGTTAAAGGATTCAAACAACGTCAAGGTATTGACTACACTGATACTTTTAGCCCAGTCGCAAGACTTGCCACAGTACGTTCAATCTTAAGCATAGCTGCAAGTGAAAATATGAGTCTAATGCAGTTTGATGTTTCAACAGCATTTCTTTATGGAGACCTTGAGGAAAATATATATATATATATATATGAAAATACCAGAAGGATGTGATGATACAACAGGAAAGGTTTTCAAATTAAAACGTAGCCTTTATGGGTTAAAACAAGCACCTCTTTGTTGGTATAAACGTTTGACTTTATTTTTATTAAAATTTGGATTTACACAAAATGAAGACGATCCTTGCTTATACGTAATACACCGTAACAATAACAAAGTTTTTCTAGTATTGTATGTTGATGATGGCTTACTAGCAGGTACTAGACAAGAAGAATTGGAATATTTTATTGAGGAACTAAAGAATGATTTTAAAATTACCTTAAAAACAGCTACATATTATTTAGGTTTAGAGATAGAGAGGCATACAGAAGGACAAATTAAAATCAGTCAAAAATCATATGCAAGAAAAGTTTCAATTTTTCTAATTGCAGGCCAGTAGCTACACCAATGGAAAAAGTTTCTACAACTTTAAAATCGGGAAAAGAAATAGAAAAATCAAATTTTCATTACCCATACCGACAAGCAGTAGGAGCACTAATGTATCTCATGGTTGGCACCCGACCAGATCTTGCATATAGTGTTGGTTTTTTGTCAAGAAGTCTTGAAAATTATTCTTCCATAGATGTTGTTAGATTGAAAAGAGTTTTTACATACCTAGCTGGAACTACTTATTTAGGTATTACTTATCGTCCAGGATTACCTAAAGAAATAGAATGTTACAGCGATGCCGACTTCGGAGGTTGTAATAAAACTGGACGCTCAACCTCGTGAATAGTTATAATTTACGCTGGTGGAATAATCTCATGGTTCAGTCAAAGACAAAGTATGGTTGCTACATCTACAACTGAAGCAGAAATAGTTGCAGCAAATGACGGTACAAAAGAAATTATATGGTTAAGTAGACTTTTTAAATCTGAAACGCAACTTGCACATGTACCTGTCTTGCAAGTAGATAATTCAGCTGCAGTTAAGTTAGCACAGAATCCAGAATTTCATCGGAGGACCAATCATATAGACACAAAGCATTTCTTTATAAGGGAGAAAATTATGGAAGGAAAACTAGCTATTCAGCAAATACCTACAGAACATCAAGTTGCGGATGTTATGACTAAATCTTTACCAAAAATTAAATTGGTAAACTTGTGTGGTGAAATGAGACTTACTTAAAAAAAATCACTGTTGGGTTCTAATTAACAGTGCTTTTCCTAAAGCGGCGCTGGGAAACAGTAACAAAGCCTACACAGAACACGAGGCGAAATAATCTTAGCAGTTGAAGCCGATGACACACAAAAAAAACAGAGGAAAGTGTTGTACTATATTTAAGTTAAGTTTGTTAAGTCAGTTTTTACAGATGTATCAAAATATAAAATAAATACTGTCAATCATTTTTCAATCCATTTTTTTTTATTTATTAACTGCAAAACCTACGAGAAGATTCAACACTTTAATACTAACTAACTTGAGGCACATTCTCACCCGCCTCATCTGATACGGAGACGCTAATTAAGTGTGAGCACTTCAAAAAAGACTTTTTAAAAAACAAAAATTTATGTGAAACCTTTATTAAGCGAGAGCTAACAATGATCTGATATTTTTTAGTTTTAACTCATATTTATAACTTTACTACGAAATGCAACGTTAACATTTAATCTTCTATTAGTCGGCGGGATTGTTTCCATAACTCCTCCGGGCCTGGATGAGAACTATGGGCTTAAACCAGAGTTCCAAATGAGCGGAAAATTCTTGAGGTCTATATCTTGAGGATTTTCTTTCTTCTTTTTCTCGGTCAACTTCTTTGTAAAATTTAAAAGCTGCATAAATTATCGGGACGGTGGTGTAGCGGTCTATCGCGCTTATATTCATTTATAGGCAAGTTTATGAGTCTGAGACTGCTGGGTTTCGAATCCCAGACCGGACCAAGTGGATTTTTAATTAAATTGCATGGCTCGGTTTAGGATTTGATGTGTGGCGTATTAATAGAAATTCAATTTCTGTTGATATGACATGCAGATTAAAAAAATTCGCCATACATTACCGTCTCGATGATGGTGGGTGAGGTTTTCCGGGTTTTCCTCACCTGTAAGTCAAATGGCACCATCAATCATCTTTAAGTCGCCCCGGAGCGCCACGGCAAATAATAATAATAGCCGTCCCTTCCCCTACACAAGTCGTTCAGTCGACTTCAGGGGTTAAAATTCACTCGTAAGGGGGTGAATTAGGGAGAGTATTATTATTATTATTATTATTATTATTATTGCTAAAATAATTATAATATACAGGGATTTCATTTCAAAACTAGCCACCCAAAATAACTTTTAAAATATCTTTAAAACAAAAAAACAAGAAACACATTAATTTATATTTACGGGGGGACACATTTTACAAGTATCTGTAACCGTACAGTTTCATCCCCTAAGCGGTGGTGAATATCACTTCTAAAATTTTAAATAGAAAGGGGTATCATGTGATAGCTCTTCTTAAAGGTCTCTTTTTTTCCAATCTTTTGACACATTATTTTTTTAAATCGGATTAATTTTTCACCAAGTTATGCCATTTTAACCTTTTAATCCTTTAACCCTTCTTCCGATCCATTTATCTGAAAATGTCTCATTAAGCCAATTTCGTACAGGCAAGGCATAATGTGGAGGTGCTCCGTCCTGTTGAAAAAATAGGTTTTCTTCGTCTAGTAACAAATTTCCATCTTGATCTATTTGGTTTTCTAAGGTTTCGGTTATAAGAGGATTTGTCAGATTTTCTAATAAGTTCAAATACAATTCCCCAGTTAAATTTTCCTCCATGAAAATAGGATCAATAATTTTATTACCAAGAATTCCGGCCCATACGTTGATTTTCTGAGGATACTGGCTGTGCTCTTCCCGAAAAACATGTGGATTTGTATTGTCCCAGTACCTACAATTATGTTTATTGGCAAATCCATTTAAAAAGAAACCTACCTCGTCAGTAAAACAAATATTAAAAAAAAAATGATGGTCTTCATTTGCCCTTTGAGTCATTAATTCGCAAAATTCTAATCTTCTGTCATAATCATCCTCAGCAAGCTGTTGTAAAAGCTGTATTTTGTAAGGAAAGAATTTATTTAGCCGTAACGTTTTATGCACAGAGCCAACGGAAATATTTGTTAATCTGGAGACTTTTGGTATTGATGTTTGAGGTTCCATGGCAAAATGTCCTAAAATCTCAACTTGTGCAGCTTCAGTTAAAACTCTACGATTCCTCACAGTTTTATTGCACACACTTCCAGTTTCTTGAAATTTATGTACTAAATCCAACACATACTGATGCCCAACATTTTTATTGGGATGTCTCTGATTAAAAACACGAGCAGTTCTGCGTGCACAGCGTTGTTCTTCACCATATATAAAGATTATTTCAATTCTTTCTTGTAAATAATAAATCATTGTCAAAATTAAATTGCCAGTACACAACGAAACCAATAATCTACTAATAATAAATTGTTTTAATTTACGGTCAAAAATATCTTACGAAAAAAACATTTAAGGCTTTTTGCTAACTTGTTTATCTCGGTATTTATACTCATGCATTTTAATTCAATATTTTTAATTTTTCCGGTTTCTAGGTTATAACTTGGTGAAAAATTAATCCGATTTAAAAAAATAATGTGTCAAAAGATTGGAAAAAAGAGACCTTTAAGAAGAGCTATCACATGATACCCCTTTCTATTTAAAATTTTAGAAGTGATATTCACCACCGCTTAGGGGATGAAACTGCACGGTTACAGATACTTGTAAAATGTGTCCCCCCGTAAATATAAATTAACGTGTTTTTTTGTTTTAAAGATATTTTAAAAGTTATTTTGGGTGGCTAGTTTTGAAATGAAATCCCTGTATAATACGATTGTATAAAAACTTATTTTTTTAAAATGCACAGGGGATGTGTCGATGTCTTCTAATTTCAATTTATCTTCCTGGAGTGCACTATGAATATTATCAAGTTCATCGAGCTTTATTGAGTTTATTTGCACTGGTTTTAAGTTTATTGTTGAGGTTTTAAAATTGTTTTTGAAAATTTTTAAATTTGGCAGTTCAATATTTCTAAATTTCGGAATTTTGGTTTCAAATGTTTTTAGAGAAAAACTGTCTATAATCACTTCACACAAATTATTAAGTTCTATTAAATAACTACCATTGATAAGGATATTGTCTAAATTTTTACCACATTTTTGTTTTGTAACCACACTATGGGGTGTGATAACAATCCATTGGTTCTTTTCTAACTTCTAACATCTACTGGAAGTTGTCGACATTTGTTGATAAATTTAGAATATTTCAACAGCTGTACTTCACAAGGGGAATTCGGAGAGATTCTTAAGGTCTGGACATCTTGGCAGAGGAATCCATCTTGAGTAACTTCTTTGCATCCCAAGTTTGAAAGTGCATATTGCTGCTCATTTGAGAGAAGAAATTTGGATTGAGGAATAATGGTTTTAAAGGATTCTATGGAACGTATAGGTAGAGAGTACAGGTGATAGTAGTTATAATTATTGGATTCTATTATGGGTATTTCAAGTAGAAATACAATTTCATTATTTTTACTATAGCTTTTCATTTCGATTATTTTTTCAAAATTTAAAATATTATTTAAGGAAAGTTCAAATGGAAATTTTTCGTTATTGTTAAGATTTTTACTAATTAGTGATATTTCAGAAAATAGTTCTGTAGGATCTGCAACAGCATTTTGAAATGTATTAAGTTTTGAAAAGCTAATGGTTATCTCTATTTACCAGTATAGTCATATATAATTTGAAAACTAATAGAAAATTGTGAAACAATTCTTTCCAGTGCAAAGTAATGAAATGTTTCCGTTTTTTCTATATTTAAATTTTTAATTAACTTTTGTATTTCATTAATACGAGAGCTCAATATTAATTGATTATGAGCTAATAATTTAGAATTGTTTTTAAAGTTTTGAATTGAATTTTGTAAAATAGTAACTTGGTGCTCGATTAAACTTTTAATTTTAAATTGATTGATAGACAAAGATGTTATGGCTTCGTTATATCGTTTTGCATCGTTTTGGTCTAAATTACCATCGAAAAGGGATCTCTTTGATCTAGACTTCCAAAAAGGATTTAACTGATTTAATTGAAGGGTTATTTTATTTTCGATAATTTGAATAATATGATATGAGTTTTGAAATTCTTCTTTGAAACTAAAACTTTTGGGAGTCGTAGAGAGAGAAATGTTTAATTTATTATATTGCTCTTGCAATGTCAAAAAGTCTATTGTAATGTTTGTTATATCATAAATATGTATAAATGTCCAAAAATTTGTTTTAACTTGTGCTGTTCCTAAATGAAGAGGGAGGAGACCTGGATTGTCGTTTAAGTTATGGAATTGAGGAATGTCTAGTCTTGCGGCTGTGGTCCAGAACAGGAATCTGCAACAGGAGGTTTCCTTAATTCGTTTATGTGTATAATTTCTTTATGTAAGACTAATTTTTTATGTTTTAATGCTCTGGAAATTTCAACGCGATTTCTATCAATAATTTGAGTAATTTTGAAAGGTCCTAAAAATCTTTTATCTTTTTTATTTCGCTTTTTTGGATTTACTTTATAGACGGTTTGATTAACTTGGAATTCCGGATTAGTTCCACTTTTTTCGTTTCTTTTTTCAATAATTTTATTTTTTTTATCATTTAAGTTCTTATGCACACCCTTGTAAACGTGTTCCAATTTTTCTTTATGTTTATTAACGTAATCTGTATAAAACTCATGAGGAAGGAAAATTTCGTTAGGATTTCTAGAGTCTGTGTGTCCGAAGGTAAGTTCAAATGGAGTAAAATTTGTGGAACTGTGTATAGAGTTATTGTATCCAATTATTGCATAGTCCATTAAATCATTTTTATCTGGTTAAATTTCACGTAAAAGTCTTAAGTGTTCAATTAATGTCGAATGTATTCGTTCAGCTATGGAGTTAGATTCATGGTGACCAGGAGTTGTAAAATGAACTTTAATTTTGTGTAATGCTAAAAGATTTTTTACTGTCTCGTTATTAAATTCAGTGCCTTTATCTGCTACAATTAGTTGAGGAACGCCAAATGAAGTGAAATATTTGATCAGTGCTTTACTTTTTTTTTCAAGGGGATTCATGGACTCAACAAGTTCTTCATCTTTTATGGCTGCGCGAATTTGAAGCCCATCAAAAATTCCAGCCTTGAGCTTCTCACTTGAGAGTTGGGAAAATTTTTGACCAAGATATTGGAAACAAGGACCCTCTTTATCTAGACCTTATATGAATTGCTTCATCAGCCTGAGTTTAATATGAAGGGGTGGAAGCAATACCTTTGATGGATTCACTAACGCTCAGCCAATATATTGTGCATTCCCGGTGTCAGTCTTTTTCGTTCAGGCCACTGTTTTACCGAGTAATGTTGAGCGTCTGCCCGACTATCCCACAAACACAGAAAGCATGGCCATTTAGTGTATCCGGATTGCTGGCCCAAAAGGATTGTGATCATTTTCAGATCAATTCTCATTGTGTAAGAGAACAGCTTTCAGGCTTCTTTTACTTGAGTCTATAAACAACCTCCACTCTTCATCTCTATAACAAGAATTTTTCATTTTGTCCATCAAGCCTGGAACATCACAGCTATATACAAGGGACTCTTCTTGGACAAAATACTGTAGAAAATCATTTTCTCTGTTTCTGTAAAAGGGACACTCTAGTGTTGGGTGTCAAAAGACGATTTTCTTGCAATCTGCATCCCAACAATTCCGCTCTGTCCAGATCTATAACTAGATGGCTGAGACGATCTTGAGTAAAGCTCTTCATCATTCTCGTCAGATGAGTGACTGCTGTCCACTAGTTCAATAGCATCGAAGGTCTCTCTAACCTCTATTTCTTCGTGGTCATCAATGGCCATTCATTCCCTTGGATCCACCTGAAATGCGTTATTTCTTTCTTCAATAAAGGTCGGCAAACTGACGCTATCCACATCAGCATAAACAGCCTTACCTTTGTTTTTTTGGTTAAAACCTGTAACCTTGGATCCGCAAAAATAACAATTGGAATAGTCAGATCTCGGCTCTTTCCACTCCATGAGAGTCTTCATTTTTTTACTCTGCTGGTTGCCTTGGTTTCAACGATTCAAATATAAATAGCAACGGTTACAGAAATATTTGGAGATACACCATTAAGGTTATAAACTTTTCTAACACTTAGTCCAGACATAGTAATTGGTAAAAGATGCTTATTGTGTCAAATAAGAGGTACTTAGATTACATGCAATATTTTTAGAAGCTTATTCCTTTTTGTCTTCTACTTGGAACTTTTCAATTTATTTAAAACATTGTTTATACATATTATTACATATCTGTAATGTATGAACAAAACAAAATCCGCCTATTCTATATATATTCCATATATATTCAATATTAGGATAAATGTTCCATCCCATTTCTGGTTACATACCAAGTACGCTCTCTTTCGTTTTAATCGTTTCAGTAGTAAGATTGCTCTCTCTCCCAATTTAAATTTAATAATAAGCACTCTAGTTTTTGGTTAAGTAATTAATTGTAACAGTGATTTTCTTGTGATAGTACCTGATTTAGATTGTGGATTAACGTTTCTGTATATAACTTCGCTGTTTAGTAATAAACGAAGTCAAAACCGGAACACATGGTTTTATTCTGGAAAGTATTTTTAAATTGAATCACGCACGCCGTTCGAGTGAAATTGTTTTAAGTAGTTCAAAACAACAATCACTATTTTTCATTATTTATAGAATACAGCCTTTTAGCTAGCTCAGACAAAACTGATTAAATAAATAAACTAATGTCTTATTATTATTATTTGCAATTTTTTTATTTCGACTGATTGACTATCTCAAAAACTAAAGCCAATCAAGCAAAACGCGAGTCACATTTCACTTTTTCAGAAGAACAATGACGCAAGTGAAAATTAATGAGTCAACAGAAATAGCAAATTAAAAAAAATGTAATATGAAACTTACAACTAAGACGTTAAGGAAAAGTTTGGAAATAATCGTTGGGGACTTCGAAATATCAAATTTATTTTAGTTTTATACTTTTTGAAACAATTGAAGATTTATAGGCCGGAGAAGCGATTTGAAATCGGTAAAACGTTTGCCCAAAATCGCTCTTAAACCCCAGTCCACAAAATCACTGTTGACCAGTGTAATTTATAAATATATTTACACATAAATTTACAAGCCAATTAAATAAAATATTTAAGAATAGTAATATTAATAATTGTCATTGATTGAACTGAATATTCAGTCCAATAGGCTCTCGACCGAAGTCCTTTCCATTTTTAGAATATTATCTTTCAAATTCAACAATTTTATGTTTTGTTCCAACACGGATTTTAATAATAGATTTATAAATTGTTTTTATTTCAATGTTAAAAGTTCTTAAAACTGACTTTAACATATATTTCCCATGCTGGCTCTTAGTGTTTAAATAATGAGACGTTTAAACGAAAAAGGCTTACGAGATCCAGTTGCCCTTCTTTGGTACACATTTGTGCAAGGCAACTTTACAAATGTTTCCTTCTTTTTTCTCTTGTAGAAGATGGACACACCAGCAGTGGAACGCACAATGATGGTATTTTAAAAAGCCACGTCACATATTTGATTAGATAATTAACTTGATATAAGTGCCTTCAAGACTTAAATCGTTAAGCGTTTAAGTTTGGATTTCCCAACCCGGATTCAATTACAGATATTCTTTTTTATTTTGGAAAAAATATGACAAATATAATTAATGCAATCTGCTAAATTTTGTAGTATTTTGATATCAGTTCAGAAAAAAATAGTAGTAGTCGGTAACTGAACTTCACGAAATCCAAAGTTGAGCACTTAACGTCCTGAGCAATAAAGGTTTATGTCAATGTTAATTATCTAATCAAATATCTAACATTCGTATTTTCTATAAATTATTTTTTAAGACGCCTTCGTTGAGCGCTTCATCACTGTAGCATGCGCATGCAGCAAAGTATTTCCAAAAATAAATAATAATAATAATAATAATAATAATAACGTTTATTCAGTAAGCCAATGGTATAAAACATAACAGCATTATAATGTAGCGGATATCAAGAATATAATAATAATGAAAAAGGAAAATGAATAATACAATAGATACCTAAGTACCAAAACATGAACTTACTGAAAAGGACATATTCATCGTCAATCATACAAGATGAAAGAAGATGGTTTTCAATATATCCTGATGTAAAAAGCACAAAAAAAAGAATTATAACAAAGATTATAATAATAAATCCCACAAAAAAGAGACAAACAAAATTATTAATTAAATAATAATAACTAATACCAATATCTAATTATAGTACCTATCTAACAATAATAATAAGCCGGAGAGGCTAGTTGCGAGCTTAGTGTACATCCACTTACTCGCAACAGTTAAGCAGTGGTCTCTCCGGTCACGTCGTGGATGAGTGACCGCTGGGAGGTTCCACCATGGGCCGTG